TCCCATGCGATCCGACGGTCTGAAATTTTCACAAACTTGGACGTATCAAGTACCGACGGCTATTCGAGGAACCTTGGAACATTGCATGTCAAATGTTGACAGTTCTATCTTGCCTAAGGCATGTAGACTCTGGTATTGCTCAGCTGTTCTCAGCTGTCTCTCCTGACTGAATCAGATCTGCGGGTTTCGAATTACCTACATACACGAACTTCGATGGGATCTTCTCCAGGTGGGCAATATGCAAAACACTCGGTCGTTCGGAATCAGGATGCACGACCTTATTAATGTTGTACCTACATATGTTGATCCCGTCTATCAATTGCCAGCTCACCTCTTCTCTTATCTCTTATTATCTCATATTAGGTGAGAATTCAGGACGAGCGAGCTTTCGCCAAATAGGGTGATTGCCTACTCCAAGTGTCATCTTGATAATAGACATGACGGCTGGCACTCGTCGTATCGTGTCGGCCACGCGCACGCGCACCGACGCCTCAGACGCAATAGGACATGACGGTGTGTCTTTACCGCTTCTTGTGAGGCCGATGGCGGCTGTTGCGCAACTCTCATATCCAATGAGTTGATGCATGTTGCAATACCTCTCGCTATCGGGTTCAGGAATGATGAAAGACCATCGAGACAGAGTTGGTCCCACGATAGTCCCTGGAATATTCTTGACGGGCCGGCAGTCTACCGTACGACACCTACTGTAAATACAGTAAAGTCGATATATTGGGACGCTACGACTTCATACGAAAACCGTAGTAATACGTTACCAAGTCTCTACCAGCTCTTACCATCCCTCTATAGGGCATAGCGCTGCATCCCCGGGCTCTGCAACCTCTCGGGTGACTTGGTGAGATCCACCTGCCCCGCGATCTCTACAGCGTCGTTCAGGAACCACAACGTAAAAGTTTAGTGATTCTATTTTTCTATTACCCCCATATTACTTGATAGCAGCGTCTATCGAGCCCAATGAAGCAGCACGAGGTCAGCCTATTTGACGCCAGACGACTTCGACGGCCTCGTGATAGCCGTGATAGCTCAACAACTCCCTCTTGGCCTGCCGAACACATATTGACAGTTTCCGGGGTTCGATTTCTCATTACTAAAAACTTGTCGTGAGGTCACTGGTCCAGCATGCATCCATTCCGCCCGAGGACTCCTGTGGTTTTCATGGCGACATATGCTCCGAAAACAACGTCATAAGAACCGGTAAAAGATCTCGAAACGAGAATACAAGTCTCCTTTTTTTGCGGAGTCCTGCGTAGACGACCGCCTTTTTTACTCCTGTGCTGGGTGACACTGCAGGGACAATCATCTGTTGCCGTCGCCGTGTCCAGGATAGGGAGTTGTGTTCAGCGTTTGTTCGTCTATATTCGTCGACAACGTAAGCAACTTCATGCCGGCTGCTTCTGCCGTAATTCCAAGAATGGTAACTCTGTACCAGGGCGCTCTTTTGAGCATGTTGCTTGTCCAATTCCCTTATTTCTTCCTAATAACATCGACACAAGACATAGACAAAGAGTGAAGAGTCTTCTAGAGATACGGCATAGTTCCACAAGATACGGAGACGAGGAGTCCGTTCTAGAATTGCACAGCATTCAATAAGGGAAGATTACGGTCCAGGCTAAGGCTATTTTTAACAACTTTCCACGTTTTCGCCCTGTCGCCGCCTATCAACAATTGTACGCATATCCGACCACGATTCCACTAAACATTCTACCCCTGAATTAAAAGATAAGCACCGCCACGAGTGTGGAGTTGCGGAACGAGTCGACAATACGAAGAGTATTTCGCTAAAGAACCTCTCTTGCATTCTCTCTTGTCTCTCATCAGCCTCCCAGTTTGAGTTCCCCAGACAGGAACCAGATACCTCCCCATTCTTCTGCAGAATTACTGAAACTCGATGTTACGATCTCACGGTATGATCCGAGATTGCATACATACGCATATATACATGCATGCGTTACCCTTCGTCTCAGGGGTTGCTCGGAGGTTTTAACCCCAACATTTAACCACGCCTCTGTAGAGAGTAGCCCAACGCATGTGTCAATTCATCAATTCAGGGACGGGCCGCGTGATATGCAATGAACGGCAAGCTTTGGTTGGAACCATTCTACCGACGTTCATCACAAGGGTGCAACGATCTGTCTAGCAGCGTTGGATTTGCCGACGGTCGATGGAGAAAGGCCGCGCAATGGAGTGTTAATTGCAATTAGTATGTAGGTGATTGATGGGGATTCATGTATTCAATTTATCTGCCTAGCCGTGATGTCCTTGCAACTCTCTCGGGTTGAATTGCAACATGCCGTTGCACTGCAGTGCTGATCCAGCAACTGTCACCGTCTTCATGTCTCCCTCATGCTGGACGGTAATATATCCGATCTGTCCAAGAAAGCTTGACGAAGCTTGTTAGCCAATTTGTACTACGCGAACCTCTATGAACTTCGGATACATTGCGGATATTTGCGTGGGGTTTGATTTCGTAAAGAAGTAGAATTGATTTGAAGTTTTTGAGAGATCGTGACTAAAAGTTCGTATCTGTGGCTTTAATGTTTTAGTGAAGAACATCTGTGTAACTCCATGTACGGTACTTGTACGGGATTACTTGCATCATGATCACCAGAGTCCCGTCTTATTAACCCCACCTACCAGATTCGGGGACTAAAGTTCTCATTGCCGTAGAGGTCAGAGCTGGAGGTTGGAGCGGATCGCGGGGTTATCAGTAAAAATGTATTAGGCCGGACTGCCGGAAAGTAACTCATCACTTTCTCAACCAACAACCGCAACAGCTATTCCAATTCCTCGGAATTGTTCCTCGGAAATAGTCTGCGCGCTAACAACCTTGGAAGTTTACCGCCCTACATTTATCATCTCGACAAAGCGTCTGGCTTACGTACCTATACCTATCTTAGGATGAGTGCCTCATCCGATAAGTCTCGCTTTTCGAATCTTCGCGCTCAGGCTGATATCTTGGATGGGGAGGATGGTCTCCGTCACTTGAGACAGGAGTTTCTGATTCCAACCAAAGCTGATATCAAACGAAGGACACTCCAATCTCAACAACAAGGTGAAAATGAACTGCCTCTTCCGGCCTGCCGTAACCGAGAGAGCCTTCACTCACACTGAACTTCCGTAGATCGTAACGATCCCGCTCCAGCCGACGAGACAACCACTTGCACATACTTGTGCGGGAACTCTCTTGGATTGCAACCCAAAAGGACGGCAACTCGAATCAACCAGTATCTCCAGACCTGGTCCACCCAGGGCGTCCAGGGGCACTTTAAGCCACTAGACGACTCGCCTCTGCCGACATGGCTTGACGCCGATGCCCGAGCTGCCCAATTGATGGCCCCCATCGTGGGAGCCCATGAGTCGGAGGTTGCGGTCATGCAGACCCTGACAGCGAATTTGCATTTATTAATGTCAGCCTTCTATCGTCCGGATCCAAAAGGGAAGCACAAGATCATCCTGGAGGCCAAAGCGTTTCCGAGCGATCATGTAAGGGGTGATCCGCATGACGGCAGAGAGGTGTGCGTTCGCTGAGACGTGATAGTTTGCCGTATTGAGCCAAATCCGCCATCATGGCCTTTCGCCCGACACGTCCATGGTGACGATGGAGTCGCCTTACTCAGAAGACGCTGTCATCACCACCTACGACATTCAGTCGGTGATCTCGAAGCATGCATCAGACACGGCTCTGATCGTGCTACCTGGCATTCAGTATTACACTGGCCAACTACTGGACATCCCGACCATCACCGCGTTTGCTCACAAGCATGACATCTTTGTCATCTGGGACCTGGCGCATGCAGTGGGCAATGTGCCTCTCCACTTAGACGATTGGGATGTAGATGCGGCGGCCTGGTGCACCTACAAGTACCTGAACGGTGGGCCGGGTTGTATTGGGGGCATGTACATCAATTCTCAGAAGAGTTTAGTGACTACGGCTATCACTGACGAGGAGCCTGAGAGAGGGTACGGCAAGCGACTATCAGGCTGGTGGGGAAATGACAAGGCGACCCGGTTTCAAATGGCGACCAAATTTCATCCGGTGAAAGGAGCGGCCGGATTCCAGCTGAGCAATCCCAGCATCCTCGACATCACCAGCCTCAGCGCATCACTGGAGGTCTTCGAGCTTGCGGGTGGTGTCCCGGTGCTGCGAGAAAGGTCTAAAAAGCTCACGGCGTTCCTCGAGCAGTGCCTCTCCCACGTATCAGAAGACGCCAAGGAACTCTTCAGGATCATCACGCCATCCGACCCGGACCAGCGCGGCGCCCAGCTGAGTCTGCTACTGGCAGACAATCTCCTCAACCCGACGATGGAGGAGCTCGAGAAGAGCGCCGTCATCGTGGACGAGAGGCAGCCGAACGTAGTCCGCGTCGCTGCTACGCCCTTGTACAACTCCTTCGCGGAGTGTGTCGCGTTTGCCGAGGCTTTCGAATCGGCTTTGCTCGCAGCGCAGAAAACGCTGTAAGCTACCTAAGTAGATGGCATCTGTTCAGGGTGGCGATGGCGTCAGACTCTTTCCATCATGGTGAGCTAGATCTCGATTTGTATTCACTGGGAAGAAAGGCAGATTGTATGTAAGCTATTTACCTGTGGTATAGATATAACTAGTAGACATAACCTGTATGATTTCGAATAGTATGGATGAGTGATATAACTGCTATGTTATACAGCCGGGCATAAAGAGAATCCAAGGAGGTAATCCTCTAAAGATTTCAGTACTATGCAACACTTCTCCATCGGCTACCAATATAATTAATATTGGAAAGCGGTTCGCTTGTCAGATGCACGTCTATTCATTTTGACCGTAATGTGCCCTTGCCGCCACTGCGCACGCTGTATCGATGTTAACAGGCCAATGAGACTCGCAGCCCCATACCGCTAAGGCAAAACTGCGGGCTGGAAATCGTTCGTGATTCGTCCCATTCTCCCATGCCCATAGTAATGCAGTAATATGTAGCTTATTAACACCTCGCTGTTCATCAGACACCGGTGAGATGGCCGAGTTGGTTATGGCGTGAGGTTAAGGTCACCTTAGCATCTAACTTCCTCATGGAGCAATCCGCGTGGGTTCGAATCCCACTCTCATCATTTGCTTTTGCACTTTTTGCATCTTTCTTTGTTCTTTAGTCGGCGCATGTTACTTTGTTCAACGTCTATAGTTAAAGTCACAATTGTGTGAACGCGTCTCATTTTCCCATGCAACTTGGTTTTATTTTTAGGTGTTTCCAATTTTGCACTTGAGTTGATTAAAACTCACAACATAAAGTCATGATAATGAAAGAACCCAAATTTCCATCAAAGCGAAATGGAGTAAACCCCTCTAGAAATACAACACCGAATAGTAACCGCATCCTTGGTCTTTCACCCCCAACCAATTCGTCCCCCTCCCTTCTTATTCTTCTTTATTCGCCATAGTATCCCAAGTTCGATGGACTTTAGCAAGAGTCGACGGCAATAAAGTGCTCCTAGTGTGAGCCGCGAGGAGGAAGTTTGGTTTGGTATCCCAGCTTTAGCCCGCGGCGTTGGGGGGAGTGGGAGCTTGGAACCCGGACGACTGCGTCATGCTGGCGGGAGGGTGCTGGCCGCCGGCGCCGGCGCCCATCCAGCTGCTGTGGGGCCCGCTGGCGAAGATCGTCCTGGTCGTCGCGAACGACGTCGGGAATGGCGGCCAGGTCTGCCCGCCGCCGATGCCGCCGGGTCCGCCGCTCATCGAGGCTGGGTAGGAAGGCTCGGCGGGCAGGCTGAGGGCGCCAATGGCTAGGGCTGCGATTGTGAAGATTTGGGAGAGCATGGTGTCTGGGTGTGGTGGCGTAGAAGCTGTTGATGGTTGGTCTAGAGCGGAGATAGATACTGTGCGCTTGATCTGGTAGTGTCTGAGTGGTGAGGTGTTTGGTTTGGTGGTTGAGGAAATAGAGCTCTCTGGGAGTTCCGCTGGGTTTATATCGTCCGTCTACCTCCTCGCGTTTACCAGCCGATGCCAGGAGGGCATGACGAGGAGGTTTCACGTACAGCCACCTACTCAGTCTCATACGCGTCAAAGCTCCAGTCGGACATTAAAGGAATGACGATGTGAGTATACACGAATATCGGGTTATATGACATCTAACTTACGCATCCCAAGTTGGGTCAGATGGATCGGCCTTGGCTTCTTAGCATCTCGACAATCTGTAGGCTTGATTGGTTTGGCCGCTGGGTCGTCAAGGGGGTTTCATGAAGACGATGTTTGCGGGTCTTGTTTAAACGTGGATATTAGGTACCACTCAATCACTCTATGGTAGATCCGACCACTCGGGTCTGTGGGGGTCATAGTCTCCAGAAGCAGTCCTTTCCACAGACGTCCTCCGAGTCGAGTCTACGCTGGAGGAGGACGTGTGCATGACACTTGGGTGGTCATTACTGGAGAGACCTTCGTAGCCACTGAGCTGCGCCACTTCTTTTACAAATGTTATGTCTGACAGAGTACGTCTACATATAGAACCGCCGGAGCGTTCGTCGTCATCCTAATTAGAATCATAGTTGGAGCGCTCAAGATTTAGTTGATAGATTACTTGCGTTGCCTCGTCATAAAAGTTGCGCGGCGGAGAGACTTGCACACGAGGGCGACTCGTCAACAGGGCTGCGCTTCAATAGGTGACCCCTTTCTCATCTTCTAATGACGATCCATCGTCCCACCGATTCGATACATGTAGATTTAGGATTAAGTGGCAACTCCACGCGAGGTGACACGTTGCCATTTATTTAAAGACAAGCAATGTAGGAGCTTAAGCTAAGCTCAATTGCTCAGTGATGCATGCTCGCTCTGATTCAATAGGAAGCCTGACCAACCTTGGACTCCCGCGGCGTATAAATAACATACATTTGCTGTTGGGGTTCTCAGAAGGCCTACTCCTCTGAACTCATAATTCTACCTGATATGGCCTCTTAGATGGAAATAGATTCATCGTCAGAATCTCGCAAGTCATCTCTACGATGAACTACACGTATTGTAACCCAACGGAGCCACCATCGTCTGGGACATTCGTTATATATCATATATTGCTCTTCTCGGCCCTAAATATAACTAATGTCACATCATATCATCCAAAGCTCTCCCCTGAGATAATATCGGCGGTTTTAGGAGCACTTACAAACACTCTCGAGCTAGGAGAACGATGGCCGATCGAACTCAGCGTCCATTCACCAAACGACTCGACGCATTACTTCAAGAATCACTAATTTAATGCCTCTTTGTGTTCAATGAAGACGACTTCAGTGAGAATGAAAGGCGCTCAGGCTCCTCTGAAGGATATATGATGGTATATTCCACGGGTGGGGAATCTTTGCTATTCTACATTCATCATTCATCCTATGCTGGGATATGCCCGCTTGCTCCTCAGGTTATTACCGTGTGAAAGAGCATGGCATCATTATACGGATATTGTAGAATTATTGTTGAGATTGGCCGTGTACTCGTCTACCCGTCTGTCCTAGGTCTCTCTTAAGACATCTGCGGGTAAATTGTTTTGGTAAATGATACCGCTGTTGAAGTCGTAAAGGCTATGATCGGCCTCGGTCGCAGATCTTTGGAATAACTTGATATAAACCGTTGTTGAAGCATACGACTATACTCGCCAGAACCGCCAACGACCGCACGGCATCGTTACTCGCGTTGTGATTTACGAGCCTTGGCCAACGAGATAGCATGCCAATATGCGTGACCCCTAAGATATTTAGCATATCTGATAACAACGGGGTCGCTAACCTCGGAAAATGAAGGCCTGGTTCTCGCAGCTCCCAGATCAGATCTGTTAACATCCACCCGAGCCGAGAAATAAGGTGCTAGCCTGGGAAATTGAGATCCAAGAGCCATGATCTCCTTCTCGCCTGGAAGACGACAAGAACTAAGTTGCGCCCTCGCTGCTTCCAAGACTCGAGAATGTCTATCAGCACCGTCTCCATGTTCTCCGTGCTGATCGCCCTCTAAATCACAAGGCCCTTTTCTATATGCATTGTACGTCGCGTTCCAGTGCCATACACATTGAAGCAACGGATACCAACCCCGTGCTCTTCTGAAAACGATGTTATATCTGTCGGGGTGTGCGGTACGAGCATTAGAAGGTAGGCCAGCCCGAGTTGAGCTATATCACGTTGATCGTCCTCTAGATCAAGCGCAACAAATGCGATATCATCTCCTAGGTCTGAATATGCTTGCTAGTCGGTGATTCTGCTATTCTAAAACCGTTCTCTCCTTTCGATGCCGCGAAAAGGTAGGCGGTGTAACGAACTACACCCCATTCTTTCATACTAATGAAGGGGGATTAACTAGGCGTGAATTGTAGTCAAGTGTCGGTAACCTACGCGTTTACAATCCGAGTTGGATTGATGTTGTTGTAAGATGTAGTTGACGGTTCATGTCAATAACCCTTACCCCTATGAGACGCTGGAGAAAGCTCAGCAAAAAGATTCTTAACAGCGTTTAGGTTAAAAAGGCGAAAGTTCAAATTTAGCTAGACGTAAGACTGTATTTCTCGTAGTGAGACCACTTCGTTTAGCTATTTCTCGCCTCGCTGTAATAAACAATTTCTCAATATTTAGCTCATACATAGGAAAGCGTACAGACCCCGAGTTCCCTATATCCTATGGTGGTATATAGTGGAATGTGTGATTCGAGGCCTATATGAATCATTGCGTCTTTGCAATCAAGGCCCTCGCACCATCGGCAGTACAGGTCGGTAATGAGTCTGTTGGGTGATTTGTACTAGTAATAGGAATGGTTAAAGAAAGCCCACGCCCATAAAAACTATAGATCTTGATGAGGAGACTACGTACGAAGGACGCGTATCATTGCGTGTCTCTGTCCTGGGCATCCGACTATGAAGTGCGTGAGTGGTGGATGACTCTCAGGGGCAAGTGGCTGTGCAGGTCTTGGCTCTTAACCGCTTGTGGCTGAGCTCGGGGGTGTGGCGCGCCATCACAGCACCAAGACCCGCCAAGTTTGCCAAGCCAATCAATTTGACTTGGTCATCCCAGTTTCAGCAATCATTGTTCTCTTGTGACGTAATGAGTGGAAGTCTAGAGTCTTGTGCGACTTCCTCTGAACTCGGTCCAGTCATGCCATGTCAAACGTTTCTTGATATTGGGCACCTTGTAAGGCCTAGATGCAACATCTAAAGCTAGAACCTTCTTAATTCTCACTTCTTCAAATACATAATCTATCTAAGTCACCTCCTTGAGATCTCGTCTTACGTTGATTCCTCCATCCAACATACATATCTATGGATCTAGAGCAAACCAGGCAAATCACAGACACCACACTGGCACGGCATAATTAACTCCTCATTTCTGAGATCAGACCGTAAGTACCTAGATATCCCCACTGACAACCGGAGCATCTCCGCCGCCTATTCAACGTCTACTAAACTAGGTATTATACAGACGACAAGCTAATTCAAGCAATGCCTTTCTTCTACACCAAGCATTTCGGCGGTCGCCACGTCGGCACTAGCGTCACCGCTGGCCGACACGGCGTGCACAGGGGACCATGGCGGTTCAGCTTCGGCAGGTTCAACTGCTTCAGGAGCTAGTTCTGCTTTGCAGGATGAAGCGTTGAAGGATTTGGTGTCGATGAACGCGACCAGGATGGAGAAAAGGTCGCACGTATGAGTACGAATGCACGGCTTAAACGAGTCTTGCCCTGAAGGGATGAGTTGGAGCTAGGTTCTGCTGTAATGGATGATACACAGCCACTGGGATCGGGTTATGAGAACACGCATTCACACCACCTCAATTTATACCTATTATCCTAGGTTTCCTAGAATTTGCTAATAAAATCAACTTTTTTTTCCGACAAAGCCAACCTGTCGAATTAAGATGCTCGCTCCCGTATCTATGGATATCTATATGATTCGTGCTCGATACACCTAGACGTCTACATAGTACAGACAAATTTCCTCGATGCAAAAGTTGGCTAGCGGCTGAAGGTAAAAGTCCATAATGATAGTCACCACCGGTAGGTAAGGAGGGACAAATCTTCACAAGGTTGAGAAGGACTGGCTAATACATATCAACTCACTCTCTTATCATCCACCATAATAGGATCACCGAATGAG